GTAATAGCGATAATAGTAGTAGTAGTAGTAGTAGCAGTAGTAGTAGTAGTAGTAGTAGTAGTGGGAGTAGTAGTAGTAGTTGTAGTAATAGTGGTAGTAGTAACGATGACGATGACGATATTAATAGTAATAATAATAGTAATGATGACAGTAAGTAGTAAATAAGGGTAGTAGGAGGTACGGAATATCGGATACCCGTAAACAGAGGTGTATGATCGGGTGTGAGTGGAATCGGGAGAGGATCTGGGACATGTCTCGGCGAGGGTGCGTTATTTTTTGTCTCTGTCCCTTTTCATCCAATCCCTTTCTCTCGCTCCGTTGGCCGTTTTAGCCGTAGGTCCGAGAAAAAAAAAAAACAAAAAAAGAAAAAGAAAAATAAAAAATAAAAAAAGATTTATCCCAGAAAGCGGCGAGAAGGTGGCCAGAAAGGCGACAGGAGACTTTTCCTCCCCTTTATTTTTCGAGGAACGGTCGCTTCGACGCAGAAGAACACACTGGCGTATCGACAAGAAAAAACCGCGAAATTACAGCGAAAGCGATCGATCTGCTCTGTCGCGTGCGAACCAACCGATCCTCCGAAAACTTCTCTTTAGTCCGACTCACTGCTTCTTCTCCCTCGTTTCAAGATTCGAACATGTTCTCGAAAATCGAAACCCGCGGACGATTCGAGGCAGAGGAGTATTTTAGAGGGTGAGAACACGGTGTTAAAATATGCTCGGTAAAACGAAAGGAAAAGGATGATCGAATTGCGTGGATCGCGATCAATAGTCGAAACATTCTCGGACGAAGCATACGTATATAACGTATATTGCAATGAACGATACAAACACGATCAACGAAAAGAAACGAAAAGAAACGTAAAACGTATTCCGCGAGTCCGCGTAAGCATTCGCGGAATAAAAAATCTAAAAAAAAGAAAAAAGAATGCATATATATATATATATAATTTAGAACGTAAACGAAAGAAAGGGGAATAAGACCGATCGAATTTCTTTTTCTTTTCGATGAGACACGGTCGCGATTAAACGTCCGCAAGAACGGCAGAGCAGCGAGACACTATTCTTAAAACATGTAGAGTAAAACGACGAGGGCGGTGAAGGAACAACGGGATACGGATCTAAAGATATTTCAACCAGCATGCTTCACCTACTGATCATTCTCAACTAATGGATGGTTAGCGATCATTAAAATACTAACTACGCTAACAATTACTCTCGACATTCGCAATAAGTACGTTTACGTGTGTACGTGTGTGTATGTATGAGCATGTGCGTGTAGCGTATAAAATACATAATCACCGGCAGATGTATGAAAAGGGGGGGTTGGAAGAGTTTCTGGGGAAAAAGGGGAAGGTTCGTAGAGGAGGAACAGGTCGTTGTCGTCGATGAAAATTCGAAGGTCGTATCCCAGCTGGACGAGAAGATCGATCGCGGTCCCGCGTTTCTTCCTCGTCGGATGATCCTTTCCGGTCTCGCGCCAAACGATCGACGAACTTGACGCGAGACCGTGGATCCTCCGACGCGGTGATCGACGCGGTAACCACCGCGGTTCGATCTCTCGCTCTCGCCGCGCTCTTCCTCCCTTTCGACCGACATTTCCGAGTCTACGATCACAATTGCTCCGAAGGGGAAAGAGAGAAAGGATACGCAAGATGTAAGGAAAAATTTGAAGGAAAGTATATGGAAGAAAAACGGTAGAAACGTGATCGGGCATAGACAGTGCAATGGGAGTAAAAGAAGAAGAAAAAGAAGAGAAAGTAGTAGTAGAAGTAGAATAAGAAGAAGAAAAAGAAGTAGAAGAAGAAGAAGAATAAGAAAAGGTAGAAGAAAAAGTGGAAAAATGGAAGCTGCAGGGTATACAGGGTACATCGATATCGGGTTGTCTTCGAGGTCAGTTTTAAGTACGCACCCATGTTCTATCTCGAAACTGCGCACCGTCTCGAAGTACGCAGACCGTGGAAAATAGAATTCGGTTGCACCGTGGTCTCTAGTCAAATGATCGCCTCTTGCTTCTTTTTCGCTAGAATACGCGCGCGCGTGCGCGCGTGACTGTTTCGAGATTTCTCTTGTAAGGCGTGCTTCGTTTTCTCACTCTCTCTTCCGCACACACTCGCTTGCTCTTTTGCTCCCTCTCTCACTCTCTCGCTCTTCCTCTCTCTCAATTTTTTTTTTTTT